CTTCCTTATCCTGTGAAAAACTATTTCTGCTGAGCTGATATGACTCTACTAATCTGGAAGCACCAGGCACTCTTGTGGAAGAGTGGTCCAAAATGATTGGGGTGCTGAAAATATCCTAGTTAAGAAGCTTTTGCTGAGCCCTCTTACTTTGGTGTTAGTATTTGTGCTGTTGGCTTTCTTTTTTCTATGTGGTTTTTGTTATATTTAGCGAAATAATAAAATAGTACAAGGAAGACAAAAGGAAAAAAACTAGAATCAAACCCTGAAATGTGCCCATCCTCCTTTTTGCTGCTCTCCCACATCTCCTGTGGTTCCCACCTATAGGGTCGCGCCCTCTGGACCAGAGTAGATCATCTTCTGTCTGACCAATAGTCATATAAGGTAGAAGTAGAAAAGCCTTTCTGGGTCCAAAGTTTCTCCTCTCTACACTTGTGACCCTGACTTCCAAATCCCATGTTTTTGTTCTTTCATCTTTGTGTCTTTAGATTTAAGCCAAAACATCTCCTTGGATTATGTAATAAATGGGACTCTCCATCCGTAGAGGGTTTTAAGTCTTGGCTTGACAAAGCCCTAGCTGGGATGATTTAGTGAGGGTTGGTCCTGCTTTGGGCAGGGGGTGGACTCGATGACCTCCTGAGGTCTCTTCTAGACCTAGGATCTATGATTCTATGAAATAGGATATATTTTAATGGTTATTGCTTTTCATGATACTTATATTTGGTGCATACAAACTTCTATTTCTTTGAATTAAAAATATAAAATGTATTTCTGAATATTCCTTACTAACATGTGCTGAATTACTTATTATCCAATGCTTTCTAGTTTAATTGCTAAAGCATCTTATGTTTGGAAAGTTTCCTTTGCAGACAGGAGGACCAAAAATATAATTTTTAAATTTAAAGTTTAGATTGCATAGAAATGTTGTTAACTCCAGTAAAGTGTTTGCAAAAACAGCTGAAGAATCATGGATCTAGTCAATCTTCCATAAGGCCAGAACAGTATTGTTCTTAATACTGCTTTTTAGTTCTTTGATTAATCAGGCTTCTGCTGCTGCCCATGTTTTTCTTGCTGCAGTCAACTGGTATATTCCCAGTTCTTTCAGATTTTCAAAAATATTTCAGTGGTTCAAGGAAGTTTATTGCTCCTTAATAATTAGCACTTCTTATCTTGCAGATACTTTATAGACTTTGATTACTCTTTAATCCTATAGAATCAATATTATCTGGGCAGCTGACATAGGATTACTTGGAAAATTTTAACATTTTATCTTTAGCACCTAAGAGTTCTTCATTATGGCATTTCCTAAATATCTAATAGTTATTTAATTATTTTTTTCTTTAAAAACGAATAGTCCTGTGGCCCCAGAAAGTCTTACGAATATATCTAGTATCATGAGCTCTTATGGGCAAAATCCACTTCTTCAGGTGAACTTGAGTGGGGGGGGAAAAAAGGGGGACTCTCAGAATTTATAACAGAAAAAGAATGGAGAGGAAAAAAATGTACCTGTCAATTGTAGTGTCATTGCTAATTATACTTAACTGCTGATGTCAATGAGGTGTTGAATTAGGGAGAGCTGGTTTTATAATTAGCCATTCAGTTCATGTCTTTGTTTAGGTGAAGGGAAACAGGTGTCAAATTTGCATGTAAAGGTCAATTCTGCACTCTGTAGCTGGCTTGTGAAATTCCTATGTAGAAGAATGTCTACTTTTAAGTCCATTGAGTGCCCAGGCAGGATAAAATGTTCCTCCTACAGGATGAAGTGTGCTTTACCCACAAAAGCTCATGATCCTATATATTTTTGTTAGTCTCTAAGGTGCCACGGGGCTATTTGTTTTTCCAGATTTTTGACATCCTTTTTAAAGGATGGACCAAAACTGGACATAATATTTCAGTAGTGGTCTCACGAATGCTGTACATAGAGATGATGTACTCTGACTCTCTAATGCCCTGCTTATGCACAAGGATTGTTAGCTCTTAGTCATTACATTGAATTGGGAGAGTATATTCAGTTGGTTTCCACTGTAATCCTCAAGTCCCTTTCACAGTCACTGCATTCCAAAATTCCTCCATCTTGTGAGTGTATGATCCACATTCTTTGTTTCTAGATCAGTGAGGGGCAACCTAGACTAGGCCATCAGAACACCTGTGCTTTTTCGGATAGGCTCTGTTTGCTCAAGAAACCCCTGCAGAGTGCAAAAAGGCATGTGTGAGCTTTCTTGCAACAGCTGTAGCACAAAAAGGAGTTATGCCTCATAGAAGGAGGTTTACCTACACCGGAAAAAGCCCTCTGTTCTGCTGTTTTACTGTTGATTTACTTGCGCAAAAACACGCTTGAGGTGTGGACACTCCATGGGTTTTTGCACAAAAACTCTGCAATGTAGACATAGCCTCAGTGTTTATGTATCTAGAATTTGTGGCATGTGCCAGTTGAACCGTAGCAATGGTTTGATTGGATGCAAAGGGAGCACATGGCTCTCATAATGTTATGTGCAATCAGCATACACCTCATTTCACATGCCCTTGCTTTAAGTGTATGTCACTTTAGCAATGCCCGTGGGAAAACACTACAGAGACAAAAAAAAGCAGACTCTATAAAACCATAGCCTACGCATAGGCTTGCAATTTTCTTTCAAATCATTGATAAACATATTGAATCTCATTAGACCAACAACAGATTCCTGCAAAATTTGTACTAGAAATATCCCTGGGAGAGGCATTCCAAATCCTTTCCATTCATCTAGTCAAATGAGCATGTTGATTGAGGATGCAGTGCAGCCCCTAAGCTTTGTTTGTTTGTTTTTTTTTGTTTAGGCCATTAATGTAGAAACATGTTCAGGCACATGGTAGCTTGCTGTTCTTGCACAATCCAGATGTTTGCAGCTGTTCAGGATTTTTCTGCCACATGTTAAACACTTCATCTGTTTTGAATGAGGGCTGAGGTTTCAGATCTTCTGGTGACTATCACACTTTGTTGCTAATATGTCTGCACACTGGGTTAATCACATTGAAGTCAGCTTGAAAGGTGACCCATATGGATACTACTCTTGTAGTAGCCCTGTGTTCCACTCTGGATTCACAAATTAACTGGCATAATAGATTTAATGGAATTACAGAGTAAAGGGAATTATGCTTGTTGGAGTCTTCTCTTCATCTCTGCTAGCTTTGCTTCACATCTTAGGAAGCTGTTCAGGAAGTCTCTTGACTGAATGGGAAAGAAGTGGACCTGTGCCATAGAGACATTAGTGTTTTTGCAGTCTGTTTCCTGGTAGCTGGAATCAACAGCTCAGATATAGGGGTCTTACACCATAAGAGGAGAGATGACTACATTAAACATACTATTACTGGTAAGTAAATTCACCCTGCGTCTCTGCCATATCAGGGGAGGTCTAAGTATGAGCCTAGTTCCTGTAAGATTTAGCAGTTCTACATGTATTTCTACATAGAGCCTATACGGAATGCCTTTTCAGCACTTGTGGTGAGGATTAGAGGAGATTGCTTGTTCGCTGTATTAAATGTGCTGTTTACTTAACCTTGTATTGTGTAGGTTACAATGCACTTAGTCCCCCTCCATTTTTATTTAGTAATTCTATACTTCTGGCCCTTCCCCTTCCAAAAGGCTACTTCATATATCGAGCAAAAAAGCTGTCTGATGCACACCCAACTCCATCCAAGACTGAGTGGATCATCTTTGCCACCTGCTTAATCTCCTGAGTCTGCTTCTGAATCTAATTCCCCCTTATTGAAAGCACCACACGCAAGGTCAGCTGTTCAGATTCGTTTCATCCTGATTCATTCCATTTGTCATTAAATATATATGTATCAAAAGTAACTGTATAGTCACATCCTTATAAAGAACCTCTTGTTCATATCATTTTGATTCTAAGAAATATGGGTTGGGAGGGAGTTCTTTTAAATAAGATAATATTCTGCAAAACTAAGTCAGATCTTCTAGAAAGTGGGAGTGGAACACAGGGGTCTAATATTTAATATATTCAAGTCCACGCATGCAGATTTTATATTTTCTGTAGCTAGTTTAAAAATATGGAAAACATTCTTCTCTGATACTCAGTCACTTACTTGTCATGTAAGTGACACCTGTGCATTGGCTGATCTTGGAGTCCTTTTTTAGGCATTTTACAATTCCAACTAAAGTACATTGTTGGCTGATCTCTATAGTCTGATGGCACAGTATTCCCATAAGAGGCATGTACTAATTCATATTGTATACCATAAAAGTCACAGTATTCACTTAGAAACCTCATAAACTTATTCATATTATATACCACAGAAGACCCCATTTTCTAAATTTTTTTTTTTTTTTACCTAATTCTTTCTTGTTTTCCAGAATTGATATCTGTGCTCTCTTGCCTTCAGTGAGACTTTTGCAGGATCCTTAAAGCAAATTCTTATCTTCCTTCAGTGCAATCTTTTCCATGACTCTCCTTCCAGCATCTTCAGTGAGGACACTGAGAACTAGAAATGATTTCGTATTCTTGCTGCTTAGTGAACTGCTGTCTTTAGCAGTCCAGCTAATTTGTACAGTTTACATTTGCACAAACTCCATGTGAATTTTATAGTGCTTGCGTATTTTAGCTGCAAGTTTGATATTTTTCAAGATAATATAATTTATAAGATGACGGGAGTCTAAAGGGGAATTTCTCCTGTTCCCCTCTCCCCTCCCCCGTATCTTTTTTTGGTGGGCAAGGTTAAACCTCTGTATTCCTCAACTACTTACGTCAATTTAAATGAGTTCCAACTATTCCTTTTGTCAAGATGGGTTTTATTAAGCAGTGAAATTTATCAAATAGTCACATTACAGCATGGGTTTTACTCAAAGCTCAAATATATTTGCATAATCAATTACTGATACTTGCTTAATCTTTTCCCAGTATTTTGAGACCTTTACTGTGCATGATAGAGGAGAACTGCTGAGTTTGCAATAACTGACCTGAATTTGCTTCAAATAATTGTGCTTTTTTGGCTTTTTTGTACCTAATCAGAATTGATGTGACTGAAGTGCAAATCTTCATAATAATCATGCATTTACTGGCAGTGATTGGAGGACCACCTTTTTGGCAATCCATGGTAATTTTTGCTCATATTGTATATTAAGTTAATGTATATTTCTGATTATTCTGCTTCTTTTCTGCTCTGGTATATGTCTGGAAGAGCAACATATTTAGAATATCAGTTTCTGTTGGGAGGGAAAGATATCATTTTTCCATAAGATCAAAAGACGTGTTCTGGAAGAACTTGAATGAATTTCATAGCTAACAAATGGCAATAATGGTGCATTCTGGTTTTACCAGCACAGCACGAAAAAGTCATTTCCTTCCATACTGTACTATTAATCTAGAATGATCCCAAATCATTTTACACATTTACATTTACCAATAGAAAATTACTTTGTCCACCAGTGAAAACCTGCATCTCTGGGTGAATTGTTTGACATGGATATCAACAACATATAACTATTTTAGGTCAGAAACAAAAGAATACTTTATTAAATTGAAATTACAGGAGGAATTTTTGGAATGCAGCATGTAACTTCCCATAATTGCAATTTGTCAAAAGACAGGTGTTAATACTTTCTACCTTGTGAAAATTGCCTTATGACTTTTAATAACCATGGCCCTGATCCTGTAATTTGATCCATGCACCCATACAGATCCCAGCTGATTTTACTGAGACTCCCATAGGTATAAGTTATAGAACCACAGAAGATTAGGGTTTGAAGAAACCTCAGGAGGTCATCTTGTCCAAATCCTTGCTTGAAGCAGGACCAACCCCAACTAAATATGTGGATATGGGAAAGTCAGTGGATGTGATATACCTTGACTTTAGCAAGTCTTTCGATACGGTCTCCCACAATATTCTTGCCAGCAAGTTAAGGGAATGTAGATTGGATAAATGGACTGTAAGATGGATAGAAAGCTGGCTGGAAGGTCAGGCCCAGCGGGTAGTGATCAACAGCTTGATGTCAGGGTGGCAGTCGGTTTCTAGCGGAGTGTCCCAACGTTCGGTTCTGGTACCAGTACATCTTTATTAATGACCTGGATGAGGGGATGGCTTGCACCCTCAGCAAGTTTGCAGATGACGCTAAGCTAGTGGGAGAGGTAGATATGCTGGAGGGCAGGGTTAGAGTCCAGAGTGACTTAGACAAATTGGAGGATTTAGCCACAAGAAATCTGATGAGGTTCAACAAGGACAAGTGTAGAGTCCTGCACTTGGGATGGAAGAATCCCAAGCATTGTTACAGGCTGTGGACTGACTGGCTAAGTAGCAGTTCTGCAGAAAAAGGACCTGGGGATTACAGTGGATGAGAAGTTGGACATGAGTTGTCAATGTGCCCTTGTAGCCAAGAAGGCTAATGGCATATTTGGTTGCATTAAAAGAAGCATTGCCAGTAGATCCAGAGATGTCATTATTCCTCTTTATTTGGCTTTGGTGAGACAATACTCCAGATGTGGCATCCAGTTCTATGGTCCCACTGAGGTATACCAAAATAAACTATACCATCTGCTCAAGAAACTCCTTGCTAGAGCTTGGAGCCAAATTTATACAAACACAATCCTATAATGCCTACCAAAAGAATTCTATCTGCTACTCAAGATCCATAAACCTGGAAATCCTGGACATCCCATCATTTCAGCATTGACACCCTTACAACAGTGTGGCTTTGTTGACACTCTCCTCAGACTCTCTTCTACCAGCACTCCTAGCTATTTTAGAGACCCTTCTGACTTCCTGAGGAAACTCCAGAGCATCAGTGAAAACACCATCATGGCCAACATGGATGCAGAAGCTCTTTACACCAATATTCCACGAGCTGTCAGGAACACTATCTCCAATGGTGCCTGGTGGCTGAGCTATGTGACTTTGTCCTCACCAACTATTTCCAATTTGAAGACAATTATACCTTCAAGTCAGCGGCACTGGTATGGGCACTCACATGGCCTCACAATATGCCAACTATTTTATGGCTGACCTCAAACATTTCCTCAGCTCTCATCTATCAACATCCGCCTGGGCCAGTCCACACAAGAGATCCGCTTCCTTGACACAACAGTATAAATAAACGATGGTCATATAAACACCTCATTATATCAGAAACCTACCGACTGCTGTTCTTACCTACATGCCTCTAGTTTCCATCCAGGACACCTCACATGATCCATTGTCTGCTGCAAAACTATAAGCCACAACCGGATTTGCTCCAGTCGCTCAAACAGAGATCTTTCTCACGCATTCTTAAAACTTAAATGCCCACCTGGGGAACTGCAGAAACAGATTGTCAGAGCCAGACAAGTACCCAGAAGTCAACTACTTAGACTGAACAAGGAAAATAACAGACCACTACTGGGCATCAGCAACACCCCTCAGCTTAAACCCCTTCAGTGTATTATTGACAATCTCTAACCTATCCTTGAAAACTATCCCTCACTCTCTCTCAGGCCTTGGGAGATGGGGCCCATCTTCGCCTATAGACAGCCCTCCAACCTGAAGCAAATCCTTTCCATTAGGTACACATCTCACCTCAGATACTAACCCAGAAACCCTCCCCTCCCACCCCCCACAACAAACCCTGTTGCCACCTCTGTCCACACATTATACAATAACACCATCACAGGACCTCATCACATAAACCACCGCATCGGGTTTTACCCACAAGCTCATGATTCTATATATTTTTAGGGGCATGTCTACAATGCAGGGCAAAAGTCAAATTAAGATACACAAGGTCAATTGTGTAGCTGAAGTCAAAATAGCTTAATTTGGCTTTTGGCTCTGTCTGCACAGCAGGAAGTCGAAGGAAGAAAACTCTTCTTTTGACTTCCCTTATTCCTCACTAAATGAGGGTTACAGAAGTCAGAGTAAGAAATCTGCCATCTCAAAATTTTTGAAATAAAGCTGCAGTGCAGACATGCCCTAAGGTGCCACGGGACTACTTGTTTTTAAACTTAGACTAACACAGCTACCCCTCTGAGTGTTTGTGTGTGTGGGGGGGAAGGGGTTGGTTTTTTTTGGGGGGGGGTGTATTTATTTAAAGACAGAAATGTTAAGCACAACGGTGTCTCTTCTGTTTCCTTCTTGGACTCGCACCAACCATTTGCCTCCACTGTTTATAACTTTTGCATAATCTTTGACTCAGAACTCTTCCCACATTTTTCTTTATCTGCAAATCTGATTGTGTCAACTTTTCAACATTAACTTCATATATTTACTTCCTTCACTCCACCACTGTGGAGGTCTTTGTCCATGCCTTCATCTCCTATCATTCTGGATCCATATACGTTGGCAAAGATAGGACCTTGCAGCTTCGTCAGTGTTAATAGTGGTGGAAGCCATAATATAGATATGGCTCAGGTGGAATCAAACTTTCTTTTTATCATTATGTAGTCTCACCCTACACCGATAGTCTCCTCATGTTACAGCCTCCACTGATGTCATTACCCATGGTTCCTGGAGCTGCTCTACTGGGGAATTATAAATTCTGGATTTTTTTAATTTTTCATTTTTTTTTTTTTTTGCCATTTTTGTACAAGGCCTCGTGACCTTTTTTTTGCAGCTCATTTCTCTGTGGCATCCTGAAACTTCCTCTTTCCAGATTCCAGTATGGGCCAAATGTTGTTCCGATTCTTCCCTCCTCATGTGTACAAACAAATGCAATCCCATCACTCCATTCTAAAATACTTCCACTGAAGAAAGCATCATTATAAAAACAGATGGCAACACAGGCAGACTATATAATAAGAATGGCACAAGCTCTTCAGCACCAGAGTAACTGTGTGTGTGTGTGTGTGTGTGTGACTGAATTTTTCAGTTCAGCGAGCTCTGTTTCTGTTTCACTGTCTTTCTGAACTTTGTCTTTGAGCAGTAGTGCAGAGTGGATAGGAGGGGTATCTGAGGTGGTTCAAAAGAGTATAATTAGAGCTTCCTATTCAAGTGGCATACCAGAGCACAATCGGGTAAGGTGCTGTTACTCGTCATCTGGTTGATATCAGCAGTAAACGCCATATGGGCAAAGCATGGCCACATTAGTTTCTAACAGCACCTTGTAATTCAATAAAAGCTGTGAACCTACTGAATTCTCATACCCGCTCCAGCCACACATTCAGTGTGAACTTGGGTGAGTCACTTCCTTTTTTTCTCTAACATGGTGCTAAGTGACAAAGTACCAAACATGGGGGTCTGTGTGGACTGACTGATTGCACGGTGCCCTGAAGTTGTAAAGCATGATAGAAGTGCTAAGAATTATCCATTAGAAAAGCCTCAAAGTCAGTCTTGATGTGCAAGTCAAGATATTAAAGTAAAAACAACTTGAAATCACATAGCCTCTGATATGAAATAAGCATATAGTAGGGTTGGGGAACCTAAGTCCCCACCTGGATCCAGCTCCCAATGTTCGTGGCTCCCTCCCCAGCATTGGGGAGCCTGCAGGACTAGAGCACACAGTCTACTAGCCTGGACCCCTCCAGGCTCTGGTGTGCAAGGTGGGGTTTTTTCACTTGTGTACGGCCCCCTCACACCAAACTCTGAGCCCCCCCCCACCTACCCTAACTCCAGCACCTCCTGTCCTGAGTCCCAGTCCTCCCAGCTCACTCTCCTGCACTCCACTCCCTTTTATTCCAGCAAAAAACAGGAAAACTACAAATATTATCTATCAACAAGCTCTAGCTAATGTGTTGAATCACTTTCCTTCTTTTATTAATACAAACTTCTTCATTTTTGAAAAATATGATCATTTGCAGAAAGCATGTACATTTTCCTTTTTATTAAAAACAAAAAAAACCAACAACCACCACTCAAAATCTGTTACTTAAAGACCTGAACAATGCTGGGTACATCTGTTAGTTAAATAAAAGCAAATGGATCAGTGAATCTTGCTAATATGTTAGGTGAGAAAATACATCTTCTTCCCCAATTTCTTTAATTGATTGATTTTGCGGGAGAGAAGAAAACCAAGTGTGGACTTAGAAAAGTGGAGTGTTTGAGTTTATTTGAAATAGATAAACATGGTTTTAGATTAATTGTGCATATTTTAATGTTTTGTATTTCTCTATTGTCAAGATTCCAGTGCTGAATATTCAAATGAAAATATTCCCAGCTCTTTGTACTGTTGCAGGAACCATATTCTCCTGCACAAACTATTTTGGTGTGATCTTCACAGGTGGTGTTGGCAAAAATGGATCGACTATAGCTGTGAGTGCTTTGTTCTGTGTTTATGAATCTATTGTGTTATTTTCTTTTTGAAGAGCTCTGCAGCAGAGACATAAGAGTGTAATCAGTTAACAGATAAGTATTAGCTTCTCTCTTCTGGCTCCTCAGATATTGGCTTCCAGTCCCACTTTTGGGGACTCGGCTGCTGCAGAACCCACAGTGCAGCTGGCTCCCCGGGAGTGGGGCTGACAGCCAGGAGCTGGTGTCCGTAAGCCGTCTGCAGCCCCGTGCTGTGGGCTCTTTAGTATAAGGCTTATGCTGCAGAGCCCACAGTACTTGTAACCATGTGGCCACCTAGGATTTTTAATGGCTGTACAGTTATTTTTTTAAAGATCTTTTTTTATATCCCTACTTTGTAGTTTCCGTGCTTGTTTATAGAAAACTGATATTCTTTCAAGTGTGTTAGTTTAATATATTGTTGGTGTAAAGTTAGCTTTCACTTAATTTACTAGCTTGAAAAAAGGGGTAAATGTTGTCTAAATGAAAATAGTAGCTTTTGGGACTGATAAAGGGTTTTTAAAGGATGGGGAAAAATAGATCAATGATAACATCCCCTTCCTTGCTTTGAAATTTGTCCTACATATACAGTACATTCAAAATGATGGGGTCTAAATTTAGCTATTTACCACAAGATCCATTAGGCGCAAGGGATAGATAAGACAGAAAATGTCATCATGCCTCTGTATAAATCCATTATATTCCCACATCTTGGATACTGTGTGCAAATCTTGTTGTCCCATCCAAGATGTATTAGAATTGGAAAAAGTGCAGAGAAGTACAACAAAAATGATTAGGGTCATGAAATGCCTTTGGTATGAAAAGAGATTAAAAAAGAGTAGAGCTTTTCATTTTGGAAAAGAGATGACTTAAGAGGGGGATATAATTGAGGTCTACAAAATTGGTATGGAGAAAGTGAATAAGGAAATGTTATTAATCCCTTCACATAACACAAGAACTAGAGGTCACCCAGTGAAATTAATAGGCAGCTGGTTTAAAACAAAAAAACCCTTCTTCACGCATCACAAAGCTAACCTGTGGAACTCATTGGCAAGAGATGTTTTGGTGCCAACATTATAACAGGGTTCCAAAAAGGAGGAGAGAGCCTTGATGGACCTATCCTCTATGAGCTATTAACCAGCATGATTGGAGATGCAGCAATTGTCCCTGGCCTGTTTTTGCCAGAAACAGGATCACTTGATGATTGCCAGCTCTGTTCATTCTCTCTGAAGCACCTGATGTTGTTTGCTGTTGGGAAGATAGGGTACTTGGCCAGATGGACCATTGGTCGGATCCACTATGGCTGTTATGTTCTGCAAGATCTTACCTACTAGAATCCATGCATTTTTTTCCAAACCAAACTCCCTGTCTGATATGCACGCTTTTGCATTTGATTGGAATATGAAAGCTGTTGACCTTCCAGAAGGGATCAAATATCCTTGTCAGATGTCTGTCTTAAAGGATTTCTTGCAGGGAGGGAGGGATGTTCTGTGAACTTTTTAAGAGTTTGTGTGTGTTCATGCCAGTTAAGTTATTTGGACTAGTCTTTTTAGTTCTATTTTACTTTTGACCATTGACATCTAATAAAACAAAAATATCTTATCAAAAATACATATCACAATTATACAGAAATTCATATGTTTGGTCCCCTGTCATTTAAGAACAGAATAATCTCCTGCCTGTTGTAGAAGTTTTAGAACATAAGAACAGCACTGTTTTTGCAGTTTGAAGCCTTCCTCCACACACAATTTTTGTTTTGTAGCTGAAACTACATGTTTGCTTCATATAAATCATACCAGTTCTAGACCTTCAAACCAAAGGCTCCAACCACATTATCAGCTGACACCCTCATTCACATTTCACCACAATTCGCTACTGGCATAAGTGAATGCAAGCAGGCCCATCTTAATTTAAACTAACATGCACCCAACATGCATCCGTTGTTCAGTTAAGAGCACTTTTTATTAGACTAACATTTTCTTCCCTCACTATAGGGAACAAGTGTCCTTTCACCTTTTCTTCATATTGGATCAGTGATCATATTAGCTGCAATGATCTACAAGAAATCTGCTGTACAGCTCTTTGAAAAGCATCCTTGCCTGTATATACTTACTTTTGGTTTTGTATCAGCTAAGATAACTAACAAATTGGTGGTAAGTGTCTGAATCATTGATTCTTTTCCTTTATCTTTTCCTTTTATTGTATGATGATCTTTATACAGTAGTTTCTCAAACTTCTGCCTTCCCCAGAACATCCGTTCTCTGCATTGACTAGCCACACCCTTCCTTTCCTGCTGCTCCTGTGTATCCCATGACTGTGTAGTGGTTCTATTTGGTTCCTACTGCACATGGTTTTTCTTGAGAAATTCAGAGCCCACTAAACAATGAACCAACAGCATGCAATTAACATTTACAATGTTTTTTGGTCTCGTTTCATTAAAATACTTTATACAACAATGCTGTCAATCTGCTGAAAACATTAGGCCAAAGTATATTTTTGTGTGTTTTGTTTTTAATAGGTTGCACATATGACCAAAAGTGAAATGCACCTGCATGATACAGCATTCATAGGTCCGGCACTTTTGTTCTTGGACCAATACTTTAACAGCTTTATTGATGAGTATATTGTACTTTGGATTGCCCTGGTAAGTAGGTCATTGTATTTTATTTCTATCAATGATCATTTGTGCCATATGCCTGTTTGTTCACATTTGCGACATGCACACAGAGTTTGTGCTAATTGTGCACAGATCACATGTACACAGTTAGCACCAATTGTCTACAGATGATTCAAACAAAGAAGCATGGATTTGGGAACCTTCTTGCCTTAAACAGGGTTCTTGCTAACTTGACATGGTTTGATTGGGCGTATGGACCTCACTTGGCTCAAATCTGGTGTAGAAGCAATGTCAAATGAGCCGTGTTCTAGGTTTAGAAGCCATTGGGGAGAAATGTGATTAAGTATATTTTTGCAAGAACATAATTTCCACATTCTGGGGTGCACCACAGCAAAAGCTCTATAAGGCACAAATCCACAGGTGGAATTTCTGAAATTCATGCAGTGTCAGAGCAACTATAGATACCAGGACCAGTGTCTCAGAGAAGCTCTTGGCTACATAGTTATGTCTCTCCCTGATTAGAGCATTGAAAACCAACCAGACCAAGGTCAAATCAATCTTCCACTCTCTAGATAGCCATTCTAAAGCACTCTGTGCAGGTGTAGCAGCTGTGAACTTCTTTCTGTACTAGCTGCAAGAAATGGAAAAGCTCAGCTAATTGGGAATCACAGTATGTTCATTTGATGCTCACTGGGACATATGTTTTAGTTGGGAGCTTAGTATGTTAAATAAAGGCTCAGCCTGCATAAATTACACTCATGAAACTTGACTATTCCCATACAATGAAACACTTTTTCAAATATATTCAAATACAACATTGTGAAAATTTAAGATCAGAGATCCACACTTGAAAATAATACCCACAGCTCATGGGACATCTTATAAAAGCTTTCTACAATCGCTACAGTTTCTCTCTTATTGAAGTGTAGATTGAAGTTCTAGCCTGTAAAATGCAGAAACCCCGAAGCTTTGAGAAAAATAGGAATATACCTTTTAATATCAGGACAAGAGAACTTGGGTATGTCTACACTACCCTCCTAGTTCGAACTAGGAGGGCAATGTAGGCATACCGCACTTGCAAATGAAGCCCGGGATTTGAATTTCCCGGGCTTCATTTGCAAGTGCGGTATGCCTACATTACCCCGCTAGTTCGAACTAGCGGGGTAATGTAGGCGTACCGCACTTGCAAATGAAGCCCGGGATTTGAATTTCCCGGGCTTCATTTGCAAGTGCGGTATGCCTACATTACCCCGCTAGTTCGAACTAGCGGGGTAATGTAGGCGTACCGCACTTGCAAATGAAGCCCGGGATTTGAATTTCCCGGGCTTCATTTGCAAGTGCGGTATGCCTACATTACCCCGCTAGTTCGAACTAGCGGGGTAATGTAGACATACCCCTTGAGAGCTGTCCTTGATGCTTTTAGAGAGATTATGAGGATGGCACATGGTGCATTCACGCTCAGTATAGATAGCTAGATCTAACGCATGTCATTTTTTCCTTTGCAGATCTTTTCCCTCTTTGATTTGCTCAGATACTGCATCAGCGTGTGCAATCAGATTGCTTCCCATCTGCGCATCCATGTATTCAGAATCAAGGTCTCTTCCACACATTCTAATCATCATTAGTGACTGGGTACTTGCTTTGATGAGAAATAAGAAACAAATGTTTTCTCTAGGGAAGAATATGAACACATGTAGGGGACTAAGGCAAAAGGAGCACATAAGAACAAATCTAATTTATAATAATCAGTGTTGTACAACTTCTATTCTTTGTTACTGGTAACACTCCTTCACTAGTCTTTGCCTAATGAGAGAGGGGGAGAGAGAGAGAGAGAAAGAGAGAAGGTGAATTCCAGGTACTCTCGACGTTAACATCATGTAGTCAACTCTACTGGTTCTGTGCCCAGGAAAGCATGCAGGGAGTAATGCTTTGTCTTTGTAATTACCTTGCATACAGAATAAACTATCTATGGTGAATGGATCCCCAACAACTGAAATTTTTAATGTAGTGTATATACAAACTGCAAAACAATGTGCTTTATAATGTTAATATTTCATCATCTCTTAGTGAAATACTTTAGAGTCCATTTTTGACATTTCTTTTACTAAAGAGCTGAGTTGTAAAACAGAGATATCCCATGAGATTGTGTGACTGAAATAGTTGAATGGACTTGGATGTAAACGGAGTTGTTTCATTTACTTATGTATATTGTTCAACAGTGTATTTTAGAGGGGCCTTGTGGAAGAAGGGAGTGACTATCAGCATACAATACAGTGTGGTATCTGTGTCAATTTAATTTAATTTTTTTTTAAATAAACTTATATCTCAATTTTCTTCAATGGAAAAACTTTAAAAGCAAATTTTACTGTTCATTTTTTACATATAGAATTTAAGCAAAAATTTCTTTCTGCTCTTTAATAAATAAGGAAATTCTAAGAGCTACAGTTGTCTTTACATGTGTGTCAGCTGCTTTGTCTCACTGGGTGAAGCACTTGGTCTGATGAAGCATAATCTGTTGTGTAGAGTGCCTTTCTATACTTCCTGGGTCTCCAGTGCCAGTCACCCAAGCATCTCCAAGTACTTTCTTTGCTAATTAACACAGACTTGCAGCCCAGCTCCCAAAGTCATAGGCATATTATGCCCGTTTTATGTGTGGTAAACTGAGGCAAAAGGAAGCTAAATAACTTTCCAATAGTTCATATTGGATCTGGAGTAGAACTCCCAAGAGTCTGGATTCTGTTTGTACTGCTCCCCGCCCCCGCCTGTTTAGGTACTGGGAGTTGCACAACTCAGTGTGTCAAGTAGTTTCTCCAGTAATCTCTTCCCGTACTATTGCTCAGTGAGAAGTCACATGCTGATCTGTCACATCAAAAAAGCAAGATGTGACACCAGTCTACACACAGTACTTGCGACAGATGAGCAGGAGTGTTTGCCTTGTGTTTTAGTATTTAAATGGCAGGAAACGCCACTCAAAAGTACAGTTGCACTAGTCCAAGTGTAGGCTCCGCTCAGAGACACACTAGTGCAAACAGCGAGCTGCAGGTTACCAGCAATGGCACAGAAAGCAGTGATCGAGATAGGAAATTTGAAGTCTTGCTTACAGCCAGCAGTCCAGAACCTTAAAAGTCTTTGCCTCAGAGACCATTGCTCCCGGTCTGATCCACTGACCATTTGTGCCGGTCTGGAACAATTAAGCTAAATGTCCCCAGGATGAGGCTTTGGACTTCCTTCAGGCAAAGCCTTCATTTCTGGAAATACATCTAAACTAATGCCTGCTTAGGAAATGCTATACTGTGCCTCTGCCGAGGCTTTTCACTAACTGGTAGCTCCAGTACCCTAGGGGCAAGATTTTACACTTCTTTCATATAAAACTTCAGCATTACCAGGTGTTATGGGGCTTGCTTGAGAGAACTTGAGAACTGTTGTTGCTTATAAGGTGCACCCAGTTGCTGTGTAAATAGGTGATGTATAAATTGCCTGTAATACATTAACTTTGCCCTAATGCATTATGATACTGTTTCTATTTGTGATTGTAGACATAAGGAACTCAGGCTGTGGAATTAATTGAGAAACTGAATGAGATTTCTAAGTAAAGGGGATCATTCTAAGCAAAGGGGAGCTTGGTCCTGCCTTGAGGGCGGGGGGCTGGACTCGATGACCTCTCGAGGTCCCTTCCAGTTCTATGATTCTATACTTCATGAGGCCAAAGAGATAGCAAGTTGGAAGTTCAGCCTTAAACTTTACCCTTTCTGTTGTTGTGTACAAGCGAGCGCTGGATGCAGCGCTTTTACAGAGTTATCTCTTGCATGTAGAACTTCCTGGAACATATCCGAATGTGTACAAACCTCACTGCCTTGAAAACAAAATGTGACACATGCTGCTTTGAACTAGCTTTCCCCTAAAAACCACACTGCCAGGCAGAAAATTTCCCCTCCACCTCGGGGCCAATAAAATGAAAAGGTGTTTTTATAAAAATGAAAAAAAAAAAAAAGAGGGCCCAGATTTAACTGCAATGAGTATGATACAGAGATGGTGTATCTAGTCCCCATTTCTGTTGTATCTGAGTACCTCAAAAGCTTTAATGCATTTTTTCTCACAATGTCCCTGAGTGCTAGGACAGTGCTATTATCTTCATTTTACAGATGGGGGACTGAGGGACAAAAGGATAAGGCCCAGATAGTCAAAGGCATTGAAATCACTATGAATTAGTCACCTAATTGCCTTTGAGAATCTGGAGAGACAAGGTGGGTGATACCTTTTATTTGGCCAACTTCTTTTGCTGAAATAAACTTTTGATGTACACAGAGCTCTGCTTCGGGTCTGGGAAAGGTACACAGTGTCATAGCTAAATACAACATAGAACAGATAATCATAAGTAATTAACACATACTGTAAGAGAAGCTTCAAGGGTAGCTGAGTTAGTCTGTACAGGATAAACTTAAACAACTAAAGATCTGGTAGCACTTCATAGACTAACAAAACATGTAGATGGTGTCATGAGCTTTCGTGGGCACAGCCCACTTCTTCAGATGACTGGAGTTTTAAGAGATTGTTCAAGGTGAAGTGGCCGGTTATGCCTCTGTCAGACACAGAATTTTTGTCCTATAACAGGATTATGAATTAAAAACTCCCAGGCTTATCTTTTGAAGGTGTTGTGCAGACAATCAGATCTGGTGTGATCAATTTGTGCAAAGTGCTTGTGCACGGGTGATGTGATGTTTGTCTTTCAATTTTCTGTGAGCTCATTTGAGAGCGTACTGATTGTCTGGTTTCAGCTACAGAATTGTTGATGTACCTGAATGCTGCATGTGTTGTGGTTAGATATGTGAGAGACTATGGATAGTAATCTGGGGCGGGGGAGGGTATTGATCATTGTAGCAGTGGAAATGTCTGCACAATTTTAATGGGATGAAAATCTGGTGTCACTTTGAGCTGGTGTGTCCTGGTCTTCGAGGAGCTTCCTTCTGATGATGGGGTTGTTTGAAGGCCAAGAGAAAGGGTTCAGGATGTCCCCATTAGGTATGTGGTGTAATTGTTTTAGGATACTCCCATATGGATTCAGATGTGAGGTGATAGGTGACAACTAGAAGTGTGAATGAAGGGGGGGTTGTTTCATTTACTGAAGCAGGCTCTTTTGGGGAGTGGTACTTGAGTGGCCTGTTCTTTGACATGAGCTATTTCTGTGCTGGAGTGTCTTTGATTGGTAAAGGTGGTTTTAAGTGTGTCTTGGACTTTCTCCTCTGAACCATTTCGGTGGTGTCCAAGTGCCTGGCTGCATTTCATAGGAGGATTGCTGGAGCGGTCAAGGTAAGTACAGTTATTTTATTCTTAGATGTCTTGTATATAGTTGTCTGAAGCTGATCAGTGTCCTCGAATTTGATTCAGGTGGGGAGTGTTCTGGAAATAATTGAATGGATTTGCAGTGGGTATTGAAAATGTGGTTCCTTCCCATGTAGTTAAATGCAAGGAAATCTACATCTGAAGATATCTTTTTTTTCAGTCTAATTGTCACTTCTTACAGTTATGAAAAATAAATGTATTCAATGGCTGCAGAGAACTTCACCTACTTCAGGGAGCTGCACAATGAACGATATTCACAATGGCTGTCTTTCTCTCTCCTGCCTTTTCCCTAGGGCAGGGGCCAGGCACTAGTTGGACCGTGGGCCAAATCAGGACCACTAGATGCTTTTGAAAGGACCCGTATCTATGTACTTATCGTTTTTATTTTCTCTGGAGTCTGAACCTTGACTATACAATAACCAAGAAACTTGAACCTTGACTAAAAAAATGGACTAGCACTGCCTAAGGGCAACTTAGGTCTATTCTCATTGGGAGAAAGGGCAGTGGCCATTTTGAAAAAGGGCAATTCCCCAGGGGTTTCTCTGAAGAGATTTAACATGCCAGTCTTTGCCAACAGATAAACTTAAGAAATATAACGGGGGCAAGAAGGAACTATTAATCCTGAATAGTTATTTTCTGAAAACTACCCATTACATGAGATCAACCCTATAGGAAACACCCCCCCCCCCCCCCCACTATAGAAAGGATGTGGACGCATTGGAGAGGGTCCAGCAGAGGGAAACCAAAATGATGAGGGGGCTGGAGCACATGACCTATGAGGAGAGGCTGAGGGTTTGGGGCTTATTTCGTCTGAAGACGAGAAGAGTGAGGGGGGATTTGAGAGCAGCCTTCAACTCCCTGAAGGAAGGTTCCAAAGAGGATGGATAGAGGCTGTTCTCAGTAGTGACAGGTGGCAGAACGAGGTGCAATGGTCTTGGGTTACAGTGGGAGAGGTCCAGGTTGGATATTAGGAAAATCTGTTTCCCTAGAAGGGTGGTAAAGCCCTGGGATGGGTTCCCTAGGGAGGGGGTGGAATCTCCATCCCTAGAGGTGTTTAAGTCCTGGCTTGGCAAAGCCCTGGCTGGGATGATTTAGTTGGGATCAATCTTGCTTTGGACAGGGGCTTGGACTCGACCTCCTGAGCTCCCTGCCAGCCCTAGGATTCTATGAACATGGCAAGGAGAAAGGAACACAATGGAGTCCAGGACTGGGGCATCTATAAACTACTGTAATACACCTAATAATAAGTGTACACTCCTAGTACAATGAGGTCATGTTCTATGAATGAGGGTCCTAGGCATTACAAGTTCCCAGAGCTATTAGCATGTTTGTATCATGCACATCTGGGCAATTTCTAGGGTCTAAAGGTGGCAGTCATTTGAGGCATCACTGAACACATCCCAGCAGACAGTTTTCCCCAAAGAGCAGCAAACTTTCCCTTTTATGCAACACTCTTAGCCAGTCAACACTGCAGACAACACTAGCTGGTATTTTGGTACAATGCTCCCTGCCCGAATGCACTTAACGAGAGAGGGGCTGGCATAATTAAGCTTGGCGCAGTCTCTAAAAGACGAACTGAAAAAATTTCAAAATTCAGCAGCCAAACCAGGATAGGATACAGCTTTTCAGGACCGCAGGCACCACTGCATTTTCACAATGCTATCTCCCTTCTCTGAGCTGCAGATGCCTCATAATCCCACTACCGCACACATCCCCCCCCAGTCTCTTCAAGTGGAGCTAATGCAAAGACGCGACTTCACACCAAACCCTAGTTTGCACTCTTCACGCTGTTTATTTTGAGCTCACTGTTGTCATCGGTGCCTAAGCCAGTAGGTGACACTCAGGTCTTTTAGCTCATACAAATCTGGAACAATGAAAACGTTTGTTATAAAAAGAACATGAAACCATCTTGTTGTTGAGGGGGAGCCCTTCAGGATAGAATACGTCTCAGCTAGAAAATTTAGACTTTTTTTTTTAAATAAGATCTACAAATATTTCTTACTATTAATTTTTATCTCAAATTATTCTACATACGTTGCCATTATACAGCAAGCAGGCAATCCTGCCTCAGTTTCACACTCTTGCTATTGAAGATTCATGATTGTCCTCTAGTAAGAACTAGTTACGGGACCATACGCTGCCATTTGACTAAGAACTGCAGCTTGGGCGTTGGTGTCAGTTGGCCTGGAAAAAAAATCACCCCCATGTTTGCTAGCTATGTAGAAGAGGCTGCCAGTGCTAGTGCAGTCATGTCCTGAGAGAGAAGAGACTGGGCAGGAACTGGCATCTTGTGCGGACCAGATAATCTCGTCATTCACAGGAGGAGGGGCAAGGCTCCAGAGACACTCAGAGCTAGCCAAACTCCAGGCTTTGTGCCTATGAGTGAGATGCTGACCCAGTCTGGCCAGAATATTGCTGCAGGCAGTTATCTGCCTAAGCCAATAGTTCTTCAAGAATTTCTTCGTTTCTTTTGTTCTTGATATTCAGTTACTTTCTGCTGGAAATACCCTGGGGAAAACAAAAGCTTGGATCAGTCATAGACCACATTGTAATTTCATCAACAACTGGGGTCATTAGCTGGTTTGTTTTGTAACATACTATGGTAGGAGTGCTAATGCAGCCCAAGAAACCCAATAAGAAACAACAGTCAAAGCAGAGAACCAGAGGATGGACCAGGGGAGATCGCTACGGTCATACTCTTCCCCAGGCATTTTTCTGGTCCCAATAATCATGGGATTTAGGTGCTGAAGGAGATAGGGATGGAGGGGTAGGTGGAAAATCCCTAATATGAGGAATAGAATTTGGTGGTTCTTGTCAATCTGCATTGGAAGGCTCCACAGCAGCAACACTGGATCCAAATCTACCTGGCCAGGCTAGATGTGGAGCAAGTTGGAGAAGCAATGTGTATCTCAGGTTAAAAATGGGGAATCTTTAATGCTTGTTGGACATGTCCTCCTAGAGAGAGTCTTGCACCATATAAACCAACAGGAGCTTTGCTTCTAGTCTTATTGAAGGCCTACTTTTGAATGAAGTAAGTGTGCCATTTCCAGGTCAGACTAAGTCCTTTGGTCCAGATCCTCCAAGGTGTTTAAGATCAATGGAAATTAGCAGCCTAAATCCCTTTGAGGATCTGGATCTTTGTGACCAGGGCTGGGGAACTGTAGACAGTTCACATCTCCAACCCAGACTGTAAACAGTCTCCAACCCAGATGTTTATCCAGGTTCTAGTACCATGTCCACCTCTTTGCCACCTGAGCCCAACGAGCGGAGAGATTCAAGGACTAGTGGAGAGGCAGGGTGAATCAGTGGGACACTCATACCCACACTTGTATTTCACACGCACTGACAACCTCACCAACAAAGTGAAAAACCGGGCTACGAGGAAAAGCCCCCAACTCCAGAGATGGACGAGACCTATTTGGATCCATCTCGTGTGCAAGTCTGTTTGCCACTTAATGGTCTTTGGTCCGGTTGCCGAGATTTAAAGATACCAAATGCTGGGGGCTTGTCTTGGTAGATTCCTTTGCGGCACTATATGGCCAGCAGGAAGTTTCTCCTGGCAGGGACCTTTGGGTTAACTTCTTAAATCTCGACTTAATCCCTTTTTTATTGGGCCGAACAATTGCTCAGCCTTCCCTTTAGAGCAATGGCTGAGAACACCCAGAACACGCTGAGTTATTGCTATGCCGTCACCATTGGCGCCTCCATCCATCTGGCGTTGTCACTGGCTGTTGGCTCCTTTACAGGGGGAGGGGTGTTGGGCTCAGCCTGGCCTGTGAGATCCCAACTGTTCCTGAGAAATGGGGGATTAAAGAGCACGGGCCAATTGTTAGGCTCCGTGGGGAAGGAGTTGGATGATGTCCCTAAAAGGCTGGAGGAGCTCAGCGGGGAGGGGCAGGTCTCTTCTGCGGCTGAAGGGCGAGGGCAGCGGGAGAGGAGAGCCTCAGCATGTAGAGGGGAAAGATTCCAGGGAAGATGCCCCTGTGGATCAGCAGCCCAGGAGGAGCTGGGGACCCAGGGAGAAAGCCCTGGGGAGAATTCTGGGGAGGGGGAGGGCCAAGAACCTGAGGGTGGCAGAGCTTACATGACATTGTTTTAGACTTTGGGACAGCGAGACTAATGAGGAGCCCAAGTGGGGCAGAAGATCTGGGGTTTATTACCTTTAATTCACTGGCCAGGTTAGGTTTGGGACACTGGAAGGAGGCAGAAGGTAAGACCAGCCTGTGCCAGGGGTGTCTGGCACCTCACCACCTGCTGGGGCTAACGTGGCCAGGTGGGCCAATTACCTTGTCTAGACTGCACCGGGAGGAGCAGCCAGGTAGCAGACACAAGGTTTACATTAGGATGTAATAGTGTAACCGATTATCTGATAAGCAACAGCGTAAGGTTAATTCTATAGACTACGTGCATTTCTTCCTCTCCCCCGCCCCTGCCACCATCACATCTTTTTTAACAGGCTGGCCAGCAGCCTGGCTCAGTCCTGGCTCGGGCCAGGTCCAGGATCTACCCCTGCTGCGGCTCTGCATTTAAAGCGTGTTAGGCACTGGGTGGGCAGGCAGCTTGGTTCAGTTCTGGCTCCTGCTGGGTCTGGAAACTCAGAACCCCCTTGACAGGGGCTCCTGCCAGCCTCCGCTGCTGCTGTCTATCAGCACAGGGCAACAGGTCCATGAGCGGAGCTGGGTTTAGACTAGCTCCTGCCTGGCACTTCGCCGCTCCTCGGGAGCGGGGCCGGGAGCACACTGGCTGCCAGCCCCACCCTTGGGGACTATAGAATAGTCAACCGATAAGAATTCATGAGATTACTCGGCTATTCAATTAACCGATATTTAACATCCCTAGTTCGGATGGGCAGGAACTGAGAGGGGTTGCAGGGGTCTGTGGGCACTGTCTGGGGAAAAGGAGGCATGGTTGGGGCTATAAAGGGTAGCCTGCAGTTACTCCCTGGAGGAAGGAATTTGGGCTGGCAAAGTGAGGCAAGGGAGGAGGGCACCAGGAAAGGTTGTTTTCTAATTCTAACAGAGGCTTAAGGGTACATCTGTGGTGCAATAAAAGATCCGAGGAGGTGGAGGGGGGGCGGGGGCATGGCTCCAGCCAACTGCTCTCAAAGGGCCAAAATTTGCAGTGCAGATGTCTTGGCTCCGGCTCAAACCCCTCAAAATGGGGAGGGGCTCAGCGCTTGCCATTTTAGCCCCAGAGTTCAAGGCAATTGGCTCAGGCTCTGAGAATCGGTGCTGGGGGACTTTGCCCTGGCGCGAGAACAAAGTCTCCAAAGCAGCCAACCGGAGCCAGAAGGGCGGGCCAGGTCTTACAGTGAGGGCCCCTCCGGAGACCCTCCCTCTGTTGCTGATACAGCTTGTAAATGCATGGGTGGCCGGCCTGTTTGTCTTCCCCCTAGGTAAGAGTGGGAGGTAGGATCTAGTGGCTCTGCATGAGGGGCGTTGAACGTCACCTTGTTTAGCTGGCGAGAGGTGTGGGGATGCCCAGCTGCTGTGTAATAGAATCACACTGAGAACGGGAGAATCATGTGATTACACCCCAGGAGAGGGAAACCTTGAGGCCGGGCGCACTCAGGAGCTGCAGGGGGATCGGTGACGCTGATGAAGTTCTTGAAAGTAGCATTAATGCCTAGCCTGTTTTACAGATAGGGAAACTGAGGCAGGGAATGGTGAAGTAACTTGCCCAAGGCCAGTGAGAAATCCAGAGTCAGGGCTGGGATTGAAAGTAGCATTAATGCCTAGCCTGTTTTACAGATAGGGAAACTGAGGCAGGGAATGGTGAAGTAACTTGCCCAAGGCCAGTGAGAAATCCAGAGTCAGGGCTGGGATTGAAAGTAGCATTAATGCCTAGCCTGTTTTACAGATAGGGAAACTGAGGCAGGGAATGGTGACGTAACTTGCCCAAGGCCAGTGAGAAATCCAGAGTCAGGGCTGGGAATAAAATCAATCTCCTGCGTCCCGGTCTGGTGCACCATCTACTAAGCCATGCTGCATCACTCCAATCTTAGCAAAGGGAATAAGCAAGGAGCACTTTGCGCTAGTGCTTTGACAGGTTGCCATACAAACACAGGCAGAGTTCTGGAGTCGACAATAACCTCCAGCCAACGGCCCGAGTGCTGAAAAGGGAAAGGCCGCAAGCAAATCAATTTTGCAGGTGACACACCGGTTGCGGGAGATGCCTGTACCATCTCCTCTAACGGTGTCTCTTCCTCCCTGCCCCGTGGGTTGTTTTCAGGACACTCACACTCAAACATTTGCACAAGCAATTCTGCAAATAGTAAGTCCTACTCCCTCTGCCTAAACAAACCAAAGGGCACCCTTCTGGGAAGTCCCTGACGATTTTAGAAGCAGGTTGTTGCTTCCTGAACACCAGGGTAGCAGCGGAGGAGGTGGTGGTGAGGGGGCGATTTACCTTCTTGGGCCATCCTGCTCCTTTCGGCTTCCTGGATAAAGAGGGAAAACATCTGAGTCCGCACAAATCTTTTCACAAACTTGCGGCAGGACCTGGAGGCAATGGCTCTGCAGAAGGCCTTCTCCTCAAAAGTTCCCTGGCCACTCCTATTCCACTTGAGGTGCGAGGTATAATGGCCGACGGTTTTGATGAAGAATTGCATGAAGCAGCTGGAGACGTGAGCGTTCACTTGCTCGGATGCTGGAAAGGGAACAGGAGATGTACAGTTTGGGCATGGGCGCTGGGATTCGCATGACACCTCCCCCCCTTAACACAGGAGGTGGGCACCACACAATCTTTGTTCATGCTCACAATCCCTGTGAGGCAGGGCTGGGCTGTGGTGCCTGCTGTGCAGAAGGGGAACTGAGGCACAGATCGGCAGATGTATTTACCCTCCTAACTTCAAGGATCAGGGCCAAAGTGACATGCCTAAGGATCACCCATAGTCTGTGGTGGGGCAGGTCTCTTAAGTCTTGAAGCCAGGTCTCTTAAGTCCCAAGTTAGTGCTGTGACCACTAGGCAATTCTACCTCTCTCCTCCTCTCTGGGGCAATGCTCAACCTCCCTGCTTTTAAATTTAAACACGACTGAAACATCTGACTTGTGCTAACTTGTGTGACTCTCAAACCCGGTCCCGGCTAGAGAGAAAAGCCCCATAGGGGTATAAACCGAACCACTGCTCAACCTGGTATTCAGTTGCCTGGTCTGCTGGATGATTGCCGGGTCTGCTAGCCACCGTACTGTGACTATGTCGAACCCTGGGCTTCCAAGGAACTCCAAGCGCTGCACGCACATGCAAGGAACTGAATGTGCCGCAGGCCAGCCTACGGAGGTGCTGGACGGGTGGCCTCAGTGCACGCTGACCTAATTCACTTGCCGTGGCTTCGTCAGAAGCAACTGCCATCTCCCTCAGACTCTACAATCCAACGTCTTGGTGCTAAACCATAATAAAGCTGTAACGGCCGCTAGCATACGGGACTGCCTTCCCAGGCCGCTCTGCCTGGGGGACGCCATCTGCTTCGGTAGCGCATAGGAGCGGTAGTGGCAGAGGACGGCTAAGTGTCGAAAGCGCCCAGATCCAGTTGTCACGGAGGGACATTCAGGGACACTGGCTCTCTGTGTGGTCCAGCCGCGTATCCTACAGCCTGGGGGATTTTTTTTGCTTCTCTCCCTCGTGATGGATTATTTCTCTGCCCTGATTGGTTTTCCTAGTCCCACACGGTTGTAGAATTTAGGGAGGAAGATGCTCAGATTAAAATCAGGCCACTGCTGGGAACTGGCAGGCTGTCTTCTAAAAATGGGAGGTGAAATCCCATGGTTTTTGTTTGCCAGCAAGGACAGATCCCATGTGCTCAAGCTACAGCGCAAAAGGCAGTTGGGTTTTTTAAAAAATATATAGAACATGCCAGGTTGAGTTTGCAGGGCTGCAACGAGAGTCCCACTGGGCTCGTCCATTTCACCCCCTCCCCACCACTGAGCTAGCCCTCCCCCCCAGGATAGGGGGCAGATCCTGAACTGGTGGGCAAGGTCACAGCTCCACTGCTGTCCATGTGGAGAGGGAGCCGATGGAGCGATGACCATTTACACCAGCGGAGGACACTTCCCTCCACCCTCGGTAAGCTGCACCAATCTCAGTCTCTTTCTACCTCTGAAGAAGGAAGGGCTGAGGTGTCCCTGCCGGGGCTGAGCGTGTGGGACCAGGGACCACGGCTAGTCCAGTGGCTTAGACCACTTAGCGAGTCTCTCCACATGAGCAGCTCGCTCCCTGTTATACACGGGAGTCTAAAGCACACGCAGCCCTAGGCCATGTGTTGGCTGAAGCCGAGGCAGAAAAGAGGTCCCAGGAGGACTGGTTAGCCTGGGACACCAGCTGTCATTGTGTGGGGCTCTGCACACCCGAAGAAGGAACTCTCTGCGTACTCTGTACGTTGTTGTTGCTGTTGTGCGTCTTTAAAGAAGTCAGCATCTCGCTCTGCAGCTTGGCCGGTAAGATGTTGTCTTCGTCGCCGACCTGAAAGCGGGCAAACGGATGTTAGCACAGCCAGCACTTGCAATCCAGAGAAGCTCAGGCCCGGGAAAGAAGGCTTAGAAGCGCCAGTGGGGAATCTAGCTTGCTGAACCACTTTCCGAGCGTGCCTTCAGGATCAAAGCTCCCGGGAACCAACATGTCTCCCCTCCAGAGCCCTCCTGACCAGCACTCCCTGTAATCTGTGTGCTTGGGCAGCTGCTCAGGAGAGATTCAGGTGCAGCCTAGCTGATTAGCAAAGCGCCCACAGCTAGGTTTTGTTTGGTGCACATCCACACAAGCCTTGGTGTGCACAAAAATTTATTCTGCAAATGGATGGGGAAAAATCTGAGCATGGATGGAAAAGATTTGCGGGAACATTGCCTGTGACCCATTCTTGAACACAGCCATGCAGTCTACGTTAAGGGTGTTAATTGAGATTAATCAACTAATCGAATGATGCAATTTGCATCGACTATTCTATTAGTCAATAAGGGCACCTCCACCTTTGAAACATAGCAAGAGCCTGGCCTTGCTACATGTCAAAGGCGGAAGCACCACCAGTTTCCCACTGAGCCCTGCTTCCCCCCCAAAGAGATGGTACTGGGGGGAACCGGCTTTTAAGCCGGCTCCCCCCAGCACCGGCTCCTGCTCCTGCATATGCTTATCAGATAGTCAACTAGCTGCGTACATCCCTAGTCTACATTACCATCATCTCGGGGGTGCTCGTTAGCTATTGCTAGAAGCCATCGCCTATCAATTTTTATCCCAAAGGATGTTGGAGATTAAACTTTTGCAGGGTTAACTGATACTGCTGTCTCTGACCCAGCCGCTCCTCCGCCACCCTTACTGAGAGAGAGAGAGAGAGAGAGAGAGAGAGAGAGAGATGATACAACAGCCTGAGAAATGAATTTGCAGTGAATTCCCTGCAGGGCAGTGCTTAGGTGTTTATAAACCAGGAACGCTAATGGTACAGCAACTCCATAGGCAGCTCAGGCAAGAGGCCCTACCCCCTAAGCATGCAGAGTGCAAAGAATTAGTGAGAAGTGGGACGGAGTGTCCGGCAGCTACCAAAAAGCCAGGATCAAGGCGCCTGCGGCTGTTCAACAATAGAGGTGAAAACACTCCGACCGATAAACAGGAACTGAAAGCATCGCAGCAGGGACACCTACCGATTTTAAGAACTTCCCTTGGCACAAGTCAACCAGCAGCACCTAAAAATAACAAACAGGGCCGAGCGTTAGCCAGGCTGCACTGCAAGGCTGCTTGTGATCAGCAGGGATTTAAGAGCCTCTATTTCAGAATCAGTTTTCTGGGCCTCGAGTCTGTTTTGAAAGGCTCCGAGCTGCACCTGCTGACAAATTGCTCTAGGTCACGGAAAAGGCTCCTCCACCCCTCCGAACTCTGTGTCTGGGGAAACGAAAGGACCAGGGGCATCGGCAGGCGACTGGACCAGTTACTGCTTCCAATCCACCCCAGGTTGGAGGTGCTTCCTGCCTCGTGTCTCTTGGGAGGCCCACGTGAGAGGAGTTCTGGAGTCTTAGCCCACGTCCCCCTGGAGCGAGGGCCGAGCCCCACAGCTGCCCCATTCTGAGTGCTCCCAGCTGAAGGGCAAGGAGCGAACTGGCTGAGACTACACTAGCTTTCCCAGATGTGCACTCGCCTCCCGTGAGCTGGGAGACTGGGAATGGTGAGTTGAGGGCAAGGGACAGAGGGGGTCTGGGCTGAGGCTCTTGCCCAGCTAGTGGGTAGGTGGAGGAATCCGCATCCGATCTGGCGAGGGGAAAGCTTGGGTGTTGCCTAGGAACTAGCTGGAGTCAGCTCTTGCTTCCTTCTGGACCTTTCCCCTCCCCAGGCTGGGATGGAGACAAAATCTGGACCTGCTACCCCCCGGCACACAAACTGGCCAACTGAGCCTCCTTCGAGTGCACAGCACGGTACCTCCTCCATGGGCTGATCTAGAACCTGCTCCAGGCAGCGTTTCTGGACTCCGACCATGAAGGGGGTGGGGCAGCAGACGGTATCGATCAGGCATTCCGGAACCACGGGGATGTAGGTGTGCGCCCAGGAGAAGGGGTACAGAAGCGCTGCCACCGCATGGATGCACTGGGAGAGGACGCTGCCAAGAAGGAAGAGTTCGGGTTACTGGCTGGATTTGGCATGGGGCTGGCCAGCATGCTAATCCTTGGGTGAGATTGTCAAGAGCACCCGAGAGATGGAGCTCAGTGACTTCCAAGGAGACCCCGGCTCCGAACTGCCAGGGCTTTTCTCGGAGAAAAAGCCAGAAGGGACCATTGTCATCACCTAGTCCGACCTCCCGCTTAGCACGGGCCAGAAAACTGCCCTGAACTGATTCCTGCTCAAACTAGAGCTGACCCTTCCAAAAAACAGCCCATTAGCCAGTGGCCAAGTGGTGGTAAACTGGTCCAATTATTTACATTCTCATTGATGGAAAAACATCTGAACCTAACTGGGATTTGCCTAACTTCAATTTCCCAGCCCTTCGATCGGGTTAGACTTTTGTCTCTTAGATGGAAGAGTTCCCATAGCAGAGTTTTGTTTCCTTTGTCGGTATGATCAAGACGGATGGAAGAACGCCTTCGCTGTCTCTTGATTAAGTTACATACATGGAGTTCTCAGAGTTGAATTCTACCCTCATCAATGTGGGCTGTTTTGAGGCTGTCTCCTCTCATCACATAGTAGCGTTGCCAGTTCTCGGGATTCCATTACAAATCGACATTTGGTGTTTGTCAATAAATCCCCAGCTCCTGGAGTCAAGGGATTAAACCAGAGTCCCTTTTCTTTAGCTTTTTCTCTAAAGGAAAGATGTCAGTTTCTAGCTCTGTGGCTGGGGAGAAGGTTGTAAACGTGCCCCTAAGGGCTCAAAGACCAGAAGGACCTCCTTTCCCATCTGTTTTTGTCTTATTTTTAATGCGGTCTCACAATTTAGGAGGCCAAAGCCTCACGTGTTTTGAACCCTTGGAGTTGACCATGGTGCTGCCCCACAAAACTCTCATTGGCGGGGCATTGCTATCAACAGAACGTGCAGTTTTGGTACAAAATGTTTCCCCAGCTAGAAAACTATAAATCTAGCCCAGAATCTCATATAACCCAGCATCTTCCAACAGTGGCCAATGCTAGGCGCCCAGAGGGAATGAACAGAACAAGACAGACAGAGGCTAGGGACACCATACCTACCCATCCTGGCTAACACGAATTTATCTAGTTCTTTTTTGAACACTATTTTAGTCTTGGCCTTTACAACATCCTCTGGCAAGAAGTTCCACAGGTTGACTGTGAGCTGTGTGAAGAAATACTTCTGACTGTTTGTTTTAAACCCACTGCCTATTAATTTCATTTGATGACCTCTAATTCAGGTGCTATGAGGAATAAATAACACTTCCTATTTATTTCCTCCATGCCTGTTTTGATTTTTATAGACCTTGATCATAAATATCTAGCGCCTTGGTTGTCTCTCTTCCAAGCTGAAAAGTCCTAACTCCTCATATGGAGGGCGGGCCGATTATTCCCATTTTGCAGACGGGGAAACTGAGGCCCAGAGGAAGGCGGGGGCTGTGATTTTTTTCGCAGTTACCAAAGCTAGGAACAGAACTCAAATCTCCCAAGTCCTGGTCTGGTGCTTTGCTCAGAGTGAGAGTCTGGGGCAGCAATGGCTTTCTCCTTCCCTCCTTGTCTCGGGGCTCACTCCTCACTGGACGATAGTTACTGTTTGAAGAGGGTCCTTCCACAGGGTGGCCCATTCCTGAGTGGTTCTTCTGAGAGTCTGATCAGTGAAAGTCTCTAGTGGCTAACTCAAATCTCCCAAGTCCTGGTCTGGTGCTTTGCTCAGAGTGAGAGTCTGGGGCAGCAATGGCTTTCTCCTTCCCTCCTTGTCTCGGGGCTCACTCCTCACTGGACGATAGTTACTGTTTGAAGAGGGTCCTTCCACAGGGTGGCCCATTCCTGAGTGGTTCTTCTGAGAGTCTGATCAGTGAAAGTCTCTAGTGGCTCAGAATGGGGCAACCCAGAGGGAGAGGAGAGATTGGAGCCGACTGGCTGCCTTTACGCTCCACTGATGTTAGCGTGCGAGCAGGACTTCCTTGGCTGCCCTGCCCTGCCCTTAGTGGGGATTAACTCTTCGAGCTCCATCAGGAACAGGTTCCAGCCGTCTTGTTCCACCAGCCAGAATACCACCACCTAGCTCCCCTCTAGCACTGCTAATCTGCCAATCTCAAAGTGCTCTGAAAAGGAGGTCGAGGTCAGCACCCCTATTTTACAGGTGGGGAAACTGAGGCATGAGAGGGTAAGGGACTTGTCCAAGGCCACACAACAGGCCAGTGGCAGAGTCGGGACTAGAACCCAGGTCTCTGGAGTCCCAAACTAGTGCTCGGTCTATTCAATCAGACTTCTCAGCCCCTGGGATTCATTTCTTCTGACTTTATCTCCCAAGTCAGGAGGGGCACAAGAAATGCATCACCACTAATTGAGCTGGGGGGAGGGAGGTGCCCTCAGCCAGTCGCAACTACACCCAGCTTGGGACCAAGAGAGACAGAGCAGGGGACTTGCATCTGGCCCCGTACTGATGCAGAGTGGACCTGCTTGCAATTTAGGCTGTAGCCCAGGGCAAGCTGCCTGGGCCCCGTAATACACGCTACGAGAATCGGCAGCCAGGTTCACACCTGAGCTCCTCCGCCAGGAAGATGATGCGTCGCTCCAGAACCGCCGAGGCGAACAGCCAAAGGATCTTCTCCGGACAGAGCAGTTGCAAAAGGGCCTGAAATTCCACGTGCTCCAGCCGGGAGTCCAGGGGCCGTGTGAGCTCGATGAGCTGTTGGGAAGAAGCAGGGAGAGTTGTGAGCTCACGGGTCCCTAGTTCTATTAAAAGTGACGTGCAGAAGGGCTCAAACACACCTGCTCCCAGGGGACAGAGAAAGGAGGCAGGATGGGTAGGGCATGGGGGAGGCGTTTAACAGCCCTTGTGCAATAGGACCGTTAGTTAGGACGACTTCTCCTTGGTAGCACCCAGCAGGGGCCTGGCGCCAGAATTCAGCAAACAGGCGCCGGGTGGGGAAAAGTGAGAAGTGGCCTTGCCGGACTGTCGTCTCTGGGGATGTGCCTCCATGCAAGACCCTAGCCCAGGTGGGCTCCACCGCTGTTGGTCCAGGTGATGACGACTTTGGCCTCGCAGCAGGATAAGACCCCGCCATGACAGCTATGCCCTGGGCTAGAATAGACACAATTATCTAGCGGGAACCAGTCCTTTGCTTCAACGCTGCTTGGCTACAGCCAGGAATTCCTAGATAAGCCCCAGGCTTTCCAGGACAGGAGTGTGTCCGAGGAAGGGATCGGACAGCAGCTCCAAGGCAGCCGTCTCGCAGAAGGGAGACAGTGCAGAGACATTTCTAGGAGCAGTCCGGGTACCTGGGGTATTCTGCCTGGCCTGCCCTGGGTTTGCTGGAGGGTCTCTTAGGCCTTGTCGTCACTTAGCGAGAGATGGACGCTATGGAGATGGTCCAGTAAGGACGTGCTAAACTGACCACTGATCGACTCCGGTGCTCCAGCAGGCCAGGAGAGGTAAAGAAGGTCGACGGGAGAGTTTCTCCCATCCATCCCTGCAGTGGGGATGCCGCCGTAAGTCAAACTCAGGTGCGGCGACTGTAGCTATGCTAGTCCTGTAACCTGAGTTCCACTTTGCCCCTAGTATAGATCTGGCCTCAGACTTTGCGCACAGACTTTAATTAGAGCAGTTTACAAAGCACATCCTTCCCAGGCTTCCAGGCCCTAGGGATTTGCATTGTGAGCCTCCTTGAATCAGGGGGGGGGGGTGGCTGAATCGTTAACAACGCTATCTGTTTTTCCGAAGTGCTCATTAGCCATTGGAGTGCACAGATACTAAGGCCAGAACGGCCCGCTCTGAGAGCTACTCTGACCTCCTGCGTGATCCGGCCCGAGAGTTCTGGCAGTGTGGACGTGCTCTTGTGCAAGAACTCTTGCACAAAACAGTTCTTGTGCAAGAAGCCTGTGGTGTAGACATAGCGCTAGGGAAGGGGTTCCCACCCCCTCCCTAGGGAACCCATCCCAGGGCTTCCCACCCTCTAGGGAAATGGTTTTTCCTAATATCCAACCTAGACCTTCCCCACTGCAACTTGAGCCCATTGCTCCTTGTTCTGCTATCTGCCCCCACCGAGAACAGCGCCTCTCCGGCCTCTGAGAAGTGTCTGGAAACAGGCATTCCAAACGTTCTCATCCTCTTTTCCTGCGAGGCTGGCCAGACTTCATTCCATCCAGGTGCCCCTCAAGTGAGCTCTTAACAACTAATTGGTGTCCTTGTATTATGTGCCTTTGGCAGTCAGGTGCAATCAAACCTCTCCCCAGCCTCAAAAGCTCAGCCTGGGATGACTGGGCCGGGTGAAGCCCCAGGCATTCAGAACGACCTCCCCTTACTCAGTGCAGGACAGGTCTCTCCCATGCACCGAGAGCTGGCAGCCTAGCAACTCCCCTCCCCACTGACAAGTTGGCCACGCTGACTCTCTTGAAGACACCCTCCCCTGGCTGCAGTTCTGCCGGCAACCAAAGCATGAAGCAACAGGCTAAACCTTTGCACAATCTTAACCTTCTTGCTGTAGTCGCAAGAGGTTTCATAACCCAGGAAGTTGGCAGAGAAGAACCGGCTCTCAGTAACACCCAGTGTGCAATGGGGCGATGCAGCTGCAAAGGGCCTTGAACAATTCCTCACGTTCAAAACCTACTGCAACCGTGCGCTGCAGAGTGAAACCTCTCATTTAAATACTCTGACTGCACTGTCTACGCGCGGGTGTGTGGCCCTGCTAGCGCGGAGGCAATGCACCAGCTCACCCCGCCTTCAAACCACGCTAAGTCATGCCTGAGCAAGCCAGAGTTTGCATCAGCATCAGCGCCCCAGTGGAAACCTCCCCCCCTCCCTCCCAGCACAGATGAAACCTAAAGGCCTGTCTCTGTTCCAGGGCTTGTATGGACAGGACTGAAACACACAACTACAAACTCCCACAGCAAAGCCGACTGCAAGGAATGCAGCTAACAGACCCCAGCAAGGCCGAACCTGATCCCCATGCGTCTGGATTGGAGTTTGTTGCATTTAACTAGACAGAGATGTCTCTGAACTCTGTTTAGTTCAATGGGCACAAGTTTCTAGTGTAAACCCAGTGCCAGTAGAGAAGGGCAGATGCAAAGATCTCTGCACTCAGCATGAAACAGGGATGTAACTGGTTAACTAGCTACCTGGTAATCATCACCCTTACCAGATGATGCTTACTGGTAACTGGTTAACCAGCACCTGGCCTGGCTGGAGCAGCCACAGGGGGCTGGTTAAACGTGTATTTTAACTGGATAACATTTTAAACCGGATTTTATATCCCTAGCATGAAACAATAGTTCCAGGAGAGGTGTGAATGGCTCCCATTCAATGAAGAGAGGTGTGAATGCGAATGGCTGAAAAGTCCAGGCTGTTCACTCTTTCACCGTAGAAATCTTGAGCTAACTGCCTCCCTGTTACAAGTCCCCAACACATCTGATGAAGTGGGCAAAACCAAGGAGGGGTTCTACACTGGCTGTATGGGTGGAGAGGGAAGAGTGCAGGCTTCTAGGGCAGTGCTATGTAATTCCGGGGCCTGCCTCACTGTTCAGACCCAAGCTCTGTGCCCCAGCCCTGGCCCCCTTCTGCAGCCGCTTTCTCCCTGCGGCCCTGATGGAAAGTCTCTGTGGAAAATCCAGGACACGCCCCCGTTCCCTCTGCTACGGAGATGTCCTCTTCTCTCCGGCTCTGCCCTCTGCTTTGCTGTGCGGCGTCACTTCTCTCCCCTGGCTGCCTGGGGTCCCTGCAGTAGGACCGGCACGGAGCATTCCCCATGTGCTACACCCTTCTCACTGCACCTTCCAGCCACCTGCGCGACCGGCCACAGCGGTCAGGCTGGAATATGGAACTTCTGAGCATCCCTATTTTGCCCACAGAGACCTGCTGGGACTGCTGGCTCAGGGCCCGGTCGTAAAGTGGGGGCAGGGAGGACTCTCAGAATCCCACTGACATTGCTTCCGGCTCTAACGTAGACGTGCCCACCCCTGGCATCCCAGGAGGCACCATTGTGCACCGGGACATAAGAACGGCCGTACTGGGTCAGACCAAAGGTCCATCTAGCCCAGTGTCCTGTCTACCGACGGCGGCCAGCACCAGGTGCCCCAGAGAGGGTGGACCAAAGACAATGATCAAGCAATTTGTCTCCTGCCATCCCTCTCCAGCCTCTGACAAACAGAGGCCAGGAACACCAATTCTATCCCCTGGCTAATAGCCTTTTATGGACCTAACCTCCATGAAATTATCTAGCTTCTCTTTAAACTCTGTTCTAGTCCTAGCCTTCACAGCCTCCTCTGGCAAGGAGTTCCACAGGTTGACTACTCGCTGTGTGAAGAAGAACTTTCTTTTATTAGTTTTAAACCTGCTACCCATTAATTTCATTTGGTGTCCTCTAGTTCTTCTATTATGGGAACTAATAAATAACTTTTCTTTATTCGCCCTCTCTACCCCACTCATGATTTCATAGACCTCTATCATATCCCCCCTCAGTCTCCTCTTTTCTAAACTGAAAAGTCCCAGTCGTTTTAACCTCTCTCCATAACAGACCTGGCCCTTGTTCATCACAGCGCCCTCGGCAAGCGGAGACACACGTGCCTTAGCAAAGCCGGCACAGTTCTTGCTGGCCAGACAGACACCCACCCACCCGCACGCAGAGCCCGCTGCTCCAGCATCGCCGCCGGAGGCCAGCTCCGAGGGCAGGAGAGCCAGGCCCTGCTGGAGCACCAGCAGCACTGGAGCAGAAGTGACTGAGCCAACACAAACCTCCGTTCCCGAGTCGGGGATGAAGCTTTTGATGGTGACGGTCTTCCCGGGGGCTGGGAAGGGGGATTCACGGAGGCCCTGCATGAAGGGGTAAATGACAGCCATGGAGATCTGCCGCCTCTTCTCCACTTCATCGAGGATCTGCGGGAAGAAGAGATGTCAGCCACAGCAAGGCAACCGATTCCCTGGCAACCAATTCCCTGGCAACCACCCCCATGGAGGGTACCAGCTGGACCACAGTTGTGGCCCTGGGTCCACATGCCAGAGGACATCTGGAAAGCGCCTTTGCAAGGGAGCGGCCCTTCTTGGAAAGCAGCCGGCAACAGGCTCACGTGCGGCTCAGCCCTGCAGACCTCGCCCTCACCCAGGCACAGTAGCCTTCAGCGCTCTGGCATCACCACCTGGCACCACCTTCCAGCACTGAGCTGCAGATCAGACCGCAACCAGGGGCCGAGCAGCAGCACGAGGCCTGGGCTGGGCATGCGAGCTGGGTTCGTGCTGGGCACGGGGGGCTCGGCGTTCCTACCTTGGAGAACAACCCGAAGCAGCCCAAGCAGCTGATGATGCAGAAGACCTCTGGGAGCCGAGCGCCCCGGCCAGCAGGCTGAAAGAAGATCGGCAGGCAAAGGAGGGTCAGCTTGCCCCCACAATCTCTTACCCTCTCTCTGGCACTGAGCCTGCCTCCATACCAACCCCATCGCTCTGGGGACTGCCACTCAGGTGGGGCCAGGCCCTCTCCAAGGAATGCAAAGTCAGGCGTCTGCAAAGCGAGGGCCCCCCTCCATGAGACTCGCCTTGTCTGCACCCCAGAGACGCAGTTTGTGATCCCACCCCCCATGCAGCTGGTCCTCACTGGCTACTAACAAAATACAAGTCAGGAAACTTGGAGAACAAGCTGAAAAAGCAAGGAGGGGAGGCTGATAGAATTATTTCTGTTTAAAGCCCCCAGAACAGCCCTAGCTGTGATAAATTGCAACACGCATACCCGCCCCCTCCACCAGGCTTACAGATGACGATTTAGATGCCCACGTTGCTGGTTGTTTCGTGGCGGGTCAGACCCACCTTGCTAATTCATTTGCTAAACCCCACGAAGCCAGACTGACCCACGGCCACGCCTGCGTCTCTTGCATTGCAGGGAGGGGTTGCTGAGGCCCGCCCCTTACTCCTCGTGAAACCGGGGAGCATGGGGCCAGTGTACAAGCCAACGTTGTTAATATCAAGCTAGGTAACACAGGGATGGGCTGCTATAGGGCCATAAACCTTCCTGAGAAATCAAGTTGGTCTAAAGTTGCCCCCTAGATTTCAGCCGGAGGCTGAGGCATCTTGTGATCTCAAGGCAGAGCGGAGGTGCAGCTTGTCTCAGACAACACAAGGCCTGGCGTGGAGGCGACCACCGTCACGCTACGCAGCTCAGAGGGACACTGTCTTCCACCACTGCCCAACTGGGCTGGGTTCAAACTAGCACCCAAGAGGCAATGAGCCATAGCTCAGCATCCTGCTTCTGGCCCTCAGAGGCAGCTGGCA